CCGACCCACATCCAACCCTTTTAACATTTAAAGATGTTTCAGCTAGGTTAAAAATCCTCCTTGAGGTTTTTTGACCTCAGAGAAGGGAATCTTGCTGTGTCTTAAATTAGGTGCGAGTGCTTGAAGGCAACCAGTGAGAGCGCCAGGTCATGAGCCTGCCTCAGATTTTTAGATCACTCCTGATTTCTTACTTACTCCGGGCGGGGGAAAAGATGCATCAAGCTGATTTCTATCTGTAGGTGGAGCTGGGTAGAGCTTATTTTGAGCTCTGTAGCCTTCCAGTGTCTTGTACCTGCAAGCTAAAGTGCTGCAGCACAAGAGGAAGGTGTCTAAATGAGTGACTGCTGCAGGTAACTTTCTCTAGCCCTGTGATATTGTTTGGATTGGTCCTTCTGCTGGTGTTGATCAGCATTGCTCAACTGACACTGATAGAGCAACATTGTGTTATTCCAGCTGAGGACCTGGTTCAGTGTTCTAACAAAATGCCGCAGAGACCAGTCTTTGCAGGTGGAAAGTGCCCCGAATTCCCATAATTCAGTAGGTTCAGGTAGTCTTCTTGTAACACAATGGCTTGATCAGCTTTCTTAAGGTGTGTAAGTTTCCGCTGAAGGTTGGTGGGATTTTGTTCAATGCTCAGGACTGTAGATTCTTAATGGAAAGGCACTATAGACTTGCTAAGCCTTATTGTTGGGAAACAAGTGATTCAGGCCCTGGGCTGAGACTCAGGAAACCTTGGGCAAGTCATTTCCTTCCTTACCTCCCCTTCTGTAAAACTGGGATAATGGTTCCCAGGTAAGAGGCCTCATCTCTTTGTGTTCATGCAGTGCTCAACACAATGGAGACCCAATCTTGGTTACCCTGGTGTAACTAGATATTTTATTAGGGTTTTTCTGTGGACCTCTTGTCTATTGTGTTCTGAAAGTTTCCCAGGTTGTCCATAGGGTCCTCCCCTACTCTTGGATCTTTTGTTTCTAGATTTTATTGGAGCTTCCCCTGGACTGATGAACTTTGCTCCTCTGCCACTACAAGTATGAACCAATGGGTGTAGTGACTGTGAATTTGCAGGTGTGCATGTTGCATTTTACTGTACCTTTTGTGGGAAGCAGTGTGGTCGAGTGGACCGGGTTGTATTTCCAGCTTAGTTGTTGATCTGCTCTGTGACCTTTGTCAAGGCACTTGCTCTTTCTGTGCCTCAGTTCCTTGAGGATGTGTCTGTGGATTAAAAGAGCTGCAGAAGAACTACGAAGTGGTGGGACTACTATTTTTGGCCTAAAAGAATTGAATTTGGGTGTGTGTTTAACTTGTGGTGTTGTCCTCTGCCTCTTCCTCAAGGGCAGGTTTTGTTAATTCTTTTAAGAATCAACCTATG